GCAGGCAGGACTGGCCTAGGGGTATTTTAAAGGGGTTTTAAATTAAATTTTTAGTAGAAGCGGCCAAATTTAAATAGTTATTTTTAATCTTTTTAAATTTTGTATTGTATCATTGTTTTAAACTGGCTGTAAGCCGCCCTGAGTCCTCCGGGAGAAGGGCGGGGTATAAATTTAATAAAATCTAAATCTAAATCTAAAATCCATTTTTTGGTGCTGCATGACACATTAAATTGTAAACTAATCAAATGAACGCTCGTAATGTGCTACACCATATAAAATCTATCTCAGGTTAATACTGATCAAATTTGGCATGTTGTCCTAACCTGATTTAAATGTTGTGTGAATATAGCTAGTGTAAAGTAGCTTCGGGTGTTTCTCAGTTTTCATGAACAGTAAAAAAGACAAAATATAAATTTAATGTTTAAGCTATCTTTCCACCAAATTTTGGCCATCTCACTATCCATCTTTACAGATCAATTTTTTTATCTATCATGCTTTCCTCATTTGGTATTGCAACAATAATGTAATTAATGTATTTGTTAGTGAAAGATAATACAATCCTACAACTGGAAAGAATACTGTAAACAATTAATTTCAATCTTCAACTTAATCCAGGAAATCCAGCAATTCCTCACTGTTATTTGACCTCTCTTGGCTTCAGTCGCTCAAGTGTGGAAAGGATCTCCAATCCAGATATTTACTACTGGGTGTTTGGGAAAAGGAGACACATGATCAAATGTGTTTCATGGGGTCATAATGAAAACTCTTTTGTATTTCTGTTGTGATGTCATGCAAACACAATTTAGATGAAATTATGGCTTGGTTCGGAGAGCCATCCAAATGGCTGCATTGTGGAATTGTTCCTTTCAAGAATTTTCTTCTAATACCCAACCAATCTCTATCTTTCTGTAAATAAACATGAGTATATTCCTGCATGGATATAGCAGAAAAGTTTCAGATACTTCAAATCACATTATAGGTGTTTCCACTAAATTTCTCTTTCTCACCATAAATATCGCACCAAAATGTACTTTATTGTTGAATAATCAAGTTGAATTGAATTGGTAAGGCCATGCTTAGAATACTGCATCCAGTTTTGGTCACCATGATACACAAAAATGTTGAGGCTATGGAAAGAGTGCAGAGAAGAGCAACAAAGATGAGTAGGGGTCTAAAGGCTAAAACTTATGATGAATGGTTGCAAGAACTGGGTATGTCTAGTTTAATAAAGAGAAAGACTAGGAGTGACATGATAGCAAGGTTCCAATATTTGAGGGGCTGTCACACAGAAGAGGGGTTGACCTACTTTCCATAGCATCTGAGTAATGGTGGAAGATCATTGGAGATCTAACCTAGAATTAAGGAGAAATTTCCTGACAGTGAGGATAATTAATCAATGGGAAGGCTTGCCTCCAGAAGCTATAAGTGCTCCATCACTGAAGATTTTTAAGAAAAGACTGGACAGCCACTTGTCTGGAATGGTATAGAGCAAGGGCGTCAAACTGGCAGCTCATGGGCCGGATGTGTCATGCGCAGGCCATGCCCACCGCAGCTCTGCAAAGACAAAACCTGTCAAGATACATCACAATAAATCACGTGATGTGATCAAGTTTGACACCTGTGGTATATAGAGTCTCCTGCTTGAGGAGGGGGTTGGCTTTGAAGACTTCTCTTTCAACTCTATAATTCTGTCATTTAAAAAAAAAGGATATACAAAGAAACAACTGTTTAGTGCTAAACAACTGTGACATGCTAAAAGTACGGCTCAGTATTGGTGGAACTCCATTAAAAATGGAATAATGAACTTCAAGCGCCAAAAGATTTATACAATGTTTTCTCCCTGTTGTATTGCAATATATGTGACAATGCATGCCTGGAAGAGTTTTATTACCATGACCAAATGGATTTATTTGTTTTGGAGCTGTATCTTGGGTGATAAGTTTTAGAAGAAATACTTTGGGTCCTTTCCAGCTATTTTAGGAGTTTCCAGAGATTACAAAACCAATCTATAATCTAACTTTATAATATTATGCATACTGTAATAGACACTCCATATTGATCACTTGTGTGGTCCCTGAAGTTTTTATATACCACTGGATGTAAAAGCTTTTCTCCTAATCCGCTTTTCACTTACATCTATGGATATAATAAACCTTTTGTTAAGAGAGATAGGCTTTCCATTAGGCAGAATGAGGTAGCCCAATGGTTCTCAACCTTGGCCACTTGAAGAAGTGTCAGTCAGTTCATGCTGACTGGGGAATTCTAGGAGTTGAAGTTCATACCTCTTCAAGTGTCAAGATTGAGAAACACTGAGGTAGCCTATTCAAACAGTCAAATTTGGATGTCTTAAAAGGGCAGCAAAGTATCTTCTTATTTATTTATCTTATTGTGTAATGGATGAGAAGAACATCTACCAGATTTTCTGCCAGACATGGCAGAATTATTAAGTTAGTCTTTCTGTGAGGCTGGGAAGGATATGAATGGGTGCCATTTGATTGTACAGATAGCTAAATGCAGTGGTGGGATTCAGCCAGTTCACACCAGTTTGGCTGAACCAGTAGCTAATTTTTTGTTGCCCAGGCCCAGAATGGACTTCCAGAAGTGGTATCCACACAGAGAACCGGTTGTTCACATATTTGAATCCCACCACTGGCTAAATGCCTGTGTGTAGCATGAACACTTTCATTTCTTCAGATAACAGTGGGTAAAGATATCCATGGAGCGTCAAAAAAGTGAAGTGCATGGTCATGGCTCCATTGAAGCCCTATCTTTTTTTTTTTTACTTGTAATAAAATGATAGTTGTCATCCCAAATCATACAGTGGCATCCACCACTGTGCCTTTTTTATTGCAATCCCCTGTCTGAACTGCATGTAGGAATAATAATGATGATGATGATGATGATGATGATGATGATGATGATGATGATGAAGAAGAAGAAGAAGTTGGAAGGGACCTTGGAGGTCATCTAATCCAGCCCCCTGCTCAGGCAGGAAACCCTATACCATTTCAGACAAATGGCTGTCCAGTCTCTTCTTAAAAACTTCCAGTGTTGGAGCATTCACCACTTCTGGAGGCAGGTTGTTCCACTGGTTAATTGTTCTGTCAGGAAGTTTCTTCTTAGTTCTAGGTTGCTTCTCTCCTTTATTAGTTTCCATCCGTTGCTTCTTGTCCTGCCTTCAGGCGCTTTGGAAAACAGCCTGACTCCCTCTTCTTTGTGGCAGCCCCTGAGATATTGGAACACTGCTATCATGTCCCCCTCATCCTTCTCTTCGTTAAACCATTTAAAAATTTGTCAGGACAATTTAGCAGAACCTGGTCTTTCAGCACAATTGATTTATCATCCCTACATAAGATGAATTGATGACAGGATGGCTGAGTTCTTTTTATATATGTAATTTTTATTTTTTTTAAAATTAAGAAAATAAGAACAATACAAAGTTTAAAAGAAAAAAAGGAAAGAAAAATAGTAAGTGAAAAGGTTCAAAGAAAGAAGTAGAGAAGAAAAAGAAAGGAAACTAAAAGTTATAAAGAAGCAGTTTCTGGAAATAACAATTATTAGTAGATTTATATTTTACACCCCCCCTCTCTCTAAAGGTGAACAACATAATTTCCTTCTTTCCAAAATCTACTCTTTCTGATCCTCTAAACCATAAATCACATTTTTTTTTCAGAAAAAGTCCATGAGGGATTTCCTGTCACTAATAAATGTGGTTTTTGTCTTTCTCTAATCAGACAAATCAATTTTGTCATCTCTGTTAATTCTGCCATCTTCACCATTCATTCNACAATGCTGGATTACAGTCAATGTAAAGTAGCCAGTTATGTTTCAATAGTTTTTTTCTTTATCTTCTCAGCATGAAAACCAGCTGTTGGCCTTCAGGATCCGAGTAACTCTTCTGGTGTTAGGATCAAATTCATATTGATGTGTTCCCTTAAAGAAATACAATACATCTACAAAGGGGAAGGAAAGCAAATATACATGAATATAATGTACAGTTTCAACAAATGGAAAAATACTTATCAGGGGGCACATTAATTATAAATTTAGCAAATATAGAAATGCAGCGGAAATGCAACACACTTGCCTGAAATGATTTTTCTGGCAGATTCTGTCTACATTTTCCAAGCAATAAAATTGAGAGAGAATTGATGGAAAGGATTAAGATTTGTGTTACTCATCTAAACTAGGGTGGGGGGCACAATTCTTTAGTGAGCAAAGAGTGGGTTGCATTGAAATCAGCGGACAAATATAAATTTTAAACTAAAAGTGAATTAAATTTTATACAATTAGAATTGCATGTATTAAATTGGCCACTCAAGATTTGTTCTGACTGGAATGGCCTATAAATTGTAATATACAAACAAAGATTAATTACAGTTTCTCTAATATATCCTTTTTTTAAAAAAATACCCTCATGTAGGAATCCTGGAGGACATAGCTAACTCATTAAGCCCTTCAGAGCTTCTGATTATGGACCTTTGTCCAAATCATTCTCAAGTCAATTGTCCTTGTTTATGTTTCCTTAAAAAGAAAGCAGTGTTGGTAAAAAAATCCCTACTCAGGTCTTTTAAGAGTTGTTCCTTACCATTGTAGTGGAAGACAGCATCAACCTTGCCTGTGATACCTGGGAAGCCATCTTGGATCCTTTGGGGTTTCCTGTTCATGGTCTGGCTGTTTTCATCATAACTTAGAAAAGGAAAGAAAAAGGAACAAACTTAAGCCAAAGCAAAATTGGAATTAGAATCATAGTTTTGGAAGAAATTATTTAGGCCTCCAAGTTCAACACTCAGAAAAGAAATCTAAATTAAAGTATTTGTTTATTTATCAAATAAAATTTAAATGTCCCTCATCTCATGGTGAAAGGTGACAGAGGTATCCCAGGCAGAAAGCTTCTACCTGAAATGGAGGGAAGGCACCACCTCTTTGCATAATATTTTCACTGTTACAGTGCTGTTGGGAAGTTTTTCTAACATTCATTTGGAATGTCTTCCTGTAATTTATATCTACCGTGCCATGTCCTGCGCTCTGGAACAAGAGAGAACAGGTCTTCCTTGACCTTGTGTGTGACATCCTTTTAGGTATTTTGAAGAATACTCTCATATTCCTTCTCAGATTTCACAAGTCTACATATTTTCCATTCCTTAATTGTCCCATTACAGGACTTAGTTTCTAGTCCCTAGATGACCCTTGTTGCCCTTTTCTGAACATATTTAAGTTTCTCTGCATCCCTTTTAACCAGTGACACTGCAGATCTAAACACAATACTCAAGATTAAAATCTGAGCAAAAAATAGTGCTGAAAATCATTATGTGGAAAATGTGGAAATTAGATTTTTGTTAGTGGACACTAGAGATTCTGTCAAGAGCAGGAAATCAGGAGCCAAGTTAGTTCAAATTGATACAGATTTATTGCATGATACATTTCCTACAAGAATCTGAACTGCTACCAGTCAAAGTAAATTGGGGGTAGATAAATTAAGTAGAACTTAATTTCGTTGTGAGTTACACAGTGACAATAAAGATATTCTATTCTATTCTATTCTATTCTATTCTATTCTATTCTATTCTATTCTATTCTATTCTATTCTATTCTATTCTATTCTATTAAGTCAATGGAATTCAAGGAAGGTTGGCCTTAAATCTCTTGTAGGTGTGAAGAGACTCAAGACTAATGATATGCTTGACCCCTGCCGTGGGCTCAGCCTGGTAATCTCCTACAGGCTCCTTTGGAGCCAAGTTTTCTTTCACAATGGAAACTTATAAACTACTTTGTTGAAAGAAAATTGGAAGCTGTTTCCAGCTGAGCTGGATCATTGAACAGCCAAGGAAAGCCAACAATACTCTGACAGAGGCTTTCTCGACTAAGACCAGAGTCTTTTCCACTCTGTCTGGATATGCCAGAAATTAAAATTGGGACCTTCTGTATTCAAGGTTGACGCTATTACTAATCTGTATTATTTATATATTAGAGTTGAAGTCTAAAATATAGTACTTGAGGTTTTGTCCTTATTGGCTTAATCAGTAAATGCACTTATAGACATAAAAAGTATTGTAATTCAACTTAGTTTTCATTCCTCAAATCCAGCTCTACAGTAATTGCTTTCGGAAAGGAATAAAATTTTCTATCCAGTAATGAAATAATATATGTGGCTACCATTAGAGGGCACTAATCAATTTGGAAATGAAATAATGCCATACTATTTTAAATATATAATGCAGTGCAACATGTTGCCACTTGTCAATAAAATGAGGTATGCATACGAATGGTCTGCATTGTTTTTATGAATTACTTTTTTGGGGGTGGAAATAAGGAACGGTTGCTGGAATTGGGTATGTCTAGTTTAATGAAGAGAAGGACTAGGGATGACATGATAGCAGTGTTCCAATATCTCAGGGGCTGCCACAGAGAAGAGGGAGTCAAGCTATTCTCCAAAGCACCTGAAGGCAGGACAAGAAGCAATGGGTGGAAACTGATCAAGGAGAGAAGCAACTTAGAACTAAGGAGAAACTTCCTGACAGAACAATTAACCAGTGGAACAACCTGCCTCCAGAAGTGGTGAATGCTCCAACATTAGAAGTTTTTAAAGAAGAGATTGGACAGCCATTTGTCTGAAATGGTATAGGGTTTCCTGCCTGAGCAGGGGGTTGGACTAGATGACCTCCAAGGTCCCTTCCAACTTTATTATTATTATTATTAACTATCCAATATACAGGCAAGGAAGTGACTGTTATTAGCTAGAGTCTCAAATGTATGCTGGATTTAACATTTAACATGTTTTCTTTAAAAATGCAGACAACATAAATGCTGCCAAAGACATTTGAAAGTCAGTTGTAAGCTCTTTTGCATTGCATTTGACTTTATGTCATACCTCCAGTATCTGTCTGAAGAAAAATAATATGTCTTCTTTTCATTTGCACTGAAAACTGCAGCATCAATTTTTGTGACATCATTTGGAAAGCCCAGACTGTGAATGGGCTTGGGGTACCCAGGAAGTACATAATCTCCTTTCACGACCCAAAATTGGTTGCCTGTAATCAAGCAGATTATGAATACAATGGATTGCTAGAAGTGAATGAGTAGGAAATCTGCAAGAAGTGCCTATAATTTAAATAAACTATTGCCAGGGCTGGCAACCTAGACAAGACTGGTTAATTGCCTGAGATTATTTGCTCCCTAAGTTAACACAAAATGCTCAGTTCTTTTGCTAAGTTGGTACTTTTACCCCAGAATTCACAGTTGTGTTACAGCACTTTGGATCTGACTCTGAAGAGATACTTCAGAGAACATGAGGTCATGCACTTAGCCCAGTGTTTCTCAACCTGGGCAACTTTAAGATGGATGGACTTCAACTCCCAGAATTCCCCAGCCAGCTTTGCTGGCTGGGGAATTCTGGGAGTTGAAGTCCATCCATCTTAAAGTTGCCCAGGTTGAGAAACACTGATATTTAGCCCTTGCTCGCAACTCTTTAAAGCAGCTGTATCTTTCAAAAAATGTCCCCTGCAGCTGCAGAAGACTGCCACACAATTCCAGGAAAAAAGTGGCTGCTTTAAAGAGTTATAGGCATGCTCTTTTCTTGTCCAGTTTTTCAAGAAAATACTGGAAGAAAATTCAGAATTTTTTTTTGAATCAAATACAGAACAAGGACAGGCGAGCCCTAGTATATATAATAATAGCTTACCTTTAAAAAAAAAAGTTTCATCTTTCTCATTATTTTCAGAAACAGCATCAACTCCAGATGGTAGAAATGACCAAAATTCAGAAATCAGATTCAAATCAATCTGTCTGTACTGGGGAAGTTTTCGCCAAAAATATCTATTAAAAACACATATTTGTTTTAAAGCACTGCACCTCTGAAAGCACTTTAAAATAACTTTTAATATCTGAAATTTCAAATCTTGGCAACAGCATTTTTTTCTTTAATTGGAGAGAGACATGAGTTAGAAAAGGGGAAAAAAAGAAATGAGATGCTGTGAAAGACTTTTTTAATGCTATCAGGCATTCAGGGCATTTTTTGATATTAGGATTGATTATTAAATTTTTAACACTGCAGATCATGGAAAAGTAACTTGTTATCTTCTGGCTGCACGCAGCCCATAGGATAATTTCATAGAACTTTTGCATTAAAACACAAGGTAGGATTATTAAGTATGATTACAGCCTTGAATTGATCAAAATATATAAATATTTCAGGAGCCCTTGAGTTACACACTGTTTGCTTAATGACTATTCAAAGTTACGATGGACTTCAAAAAAGCTAGGACTTTTGGGACTTATAACCCGTCCTTTAAATTAGGACTGCCTTCCCCCCCACAGTCATGTGATCACATTTGGCAATCAGCTTGGATTTACCACCGGTTGCAAAGTCTGTGGTCATGTAACCACAACTTGCAAACTTTGTTGTCATTTTTTAGCATTATTGTTTGCGTGTGTGTGTGTGTGTGTGTGTGTGTGTGTGAGAGAGAGAGAGAGAGAGAGAGAGAGAGAGAGAGAGAGAGAGAGAGAGAGAGAGAGAGAGAGAGAGAGAGAGAGAGAGAAGATAATGATTCTGGTTGAAAATTACAGGCCTTACCTATTCCAGAAAAACATTATTTCTCCCCGAAAAGTGGTCACAGCATCAAATGTCAAGCCAGGATTGCAAGCAGATGGTAATACTGGTTTGCCTGGGCTGTTGGGTTTACTTGGTTCATCCTCTTCCACTGGGTCTTGAGATGGATTTGATGATGCTCCTAAAAAGAACATCAGATGCATAAAAGTAGCAGTGGGGAAAAAAAATCCTTCCCTGTTGATTAAGCATACAATATGCATAAAGTTTTGCATAAAGTCCAGAATCATCTTAGGCTGGGGAAAAGCTGGTGCTTCATTATCTACATGCTGATCAGACTTAAAAGATGCAGACATTTGAGATATCTGAGTCTGAGCTTAATTCTTTCTCAGTTCACAAACGTTACAATATTTTAGATTATATGCATTTGTAAATTACCATAGAGATACTGGATGCCTTTAATATCATCCTGAGATAGAATCTGTTGATTTGCCTCAGGCTTCTTATACATTGGGTACATCACAGCATTAGGATCCTGAGAATGGAAGAGTCCAAGGGAATGGCCAAATTCATGAACAGCAGTATAAAATAAGTTGGTACCTAGATGGGTAATAAGAAACATCATAATATAAATACACATTCAAAATCTTAGATGCAGTCAACTATTAGATATAGTAGATATTTAACTGTTGCTTCCTTGTCGTTTTTCCAAATAACAAGGAATACTTTTAAGGGAAAAAAAGTCACAGCAATAGATATTTATGGATCTGTGTAATTCATGGATGGTCAACCCTGGTCCCATCAGGTCTATGAATTCTCCACCCTCTTTTATTTTGATTGCTTGTATTGCTTCTGTGATTTTATGGCTTCATCTTGGTGTCATATAGATGAATACTGGGAATGTTCACTAAATATTCAATATAGTTGAAAAAAAAATAAGGCACTTAAACATTGAGTAGGCACCTCCCACCCACCCCCCAAAAAAAACTTGCGCTTGCCACTTATGTGACATTAATCCTCCATCCTGCACTTTCCTGCTGGAAATAAAAGTAAAACACCAGCATTTTGGTGATCTCCACTACAGCCAAATCTTGCCTTCTTCTGGCTGAATCATTCTATGTATATTAATACTGCTTGGGAGTTATGAAACTACTTCATTTCAGGAAGATGTGGATATGGTTTGGGGTTTCAAAACTAATGTGCACATTTCAGATTTTGAAACTATGTTCTGGCTGGCAGCACAGTTCTATAATACTGTTTAGAATTCTCTGTGAGAGATATTCATTCAAGTGTCTTTTTCTAGTTCTAATTACACTCCCACCTTTTTTCCTCCCTACTTGTTTTTTGTTTTGCTAACAAGTTCACAAGATGCTACCTATAACATCCTCTTGATCACAAGTACGAGTCTCCAAAATTAAATTAAAATTTTATTTCAAAAGTGTGNGAGAGAGAGAGAGAGAGAGAGATAGATAGATAGATAGATAGATAATAATAATAATAATAATAATAATAATAATAATAATAATAATAATAATAATTTAATTTGTACCCCGCCCTTCTCCTCATAGGACTTCAATTCCTATAACACCTTTCTCATTTGCAATGATAGGAGTTGATATCTACCAGAAAAGGAGAGAGAGAGAGAGAGAGAGAGAGAGAGAGAGAGAGAGAGAGAGAGAGAGAGAGAGAGAGAGAGAGAAGATAATGATTCTGGTTGAAAATTACAGGCCTTACTTATTCCAGAAAAACATTATTTCTCCCCGAAAAGTGGTCACAGCATCAAATGTCAAGCCAGGATTGCAAGCAGATGGTAATACTGGTTTGCCTGGGCTGTTGGGTTTACTTGGTTCATCCTCTTCTACTGGGTCTTGAGATGGATTTGATGATGCTCCTAAAAAGAACATCAGATGCATAAAAGTAGCAGTGGGGAAAAAAAATCCTTCCCTGTTGATTAAGCATACAATATGCATAAAGTTTTGCATAAAGTTCAGAATCATCTTAGGCTGGGGAAAAGCTGATGCTTCATTATCTACATGCTGATCAGACTTAAAAGATGCAGACATTTGAGATATCTGAGTCTGAGCTTAATTCTTTCTCAGTTCACAAATGTTACAATATTTTAGATTATATGCATTTGTAAATTACCATAGAGATACTGGATGCCTTTAATATCATCCTGAGATAGAATCTGTTGATTTGCCTCAGGCTTCTTATACATTGGGTACATCACAGCATTAGGATCCTGAGAATGGAATAGTCCAAGGGAATGGCCAAATTCATGAACAGCAGTATAAAATAAGTTGGTACCTAGATGGGTAATAAGAAACATCATAATATAAATACACATTCAAAAATTTAGATGAAGTCAACTATTAGATATAGTAGATATTTAACTGTTGCTTCCTTGTCGTTTTTCCAAATAACAAGGAATACTTTTAAGGAAAAAAAAAGTCACAGCAATAGATATTTATGGATCTGTGTAATTCATGGATGGTCAACCCTGGTCCCATCAGGTCTATGAATTCTCCACCCTCTTTTATTTTAATTGCTTGTATTGCTTCTGTGATTTTATGGCTTCATCTTGGTGTCATATAGATGAATACTGGGAATGTTCACTAAATATTCAATATAGTTGAAAAAAAATAAGGCACTTAAACATTGGGTAGGCACCTCCCACCCACCCCCCAAAAAAAACTTACGCTTGCCACTTATGTGACATTAATCCTCCATCCTGCACTTTCCTGCTGGAAATAAAAGTAAAACACCAGCATTTTGGTGATCTCCACTACAGCCAAATCTTACCTTCTTCTGGCTGAATCATTCTATGTATATTAATACTGCTTGGGAGTTATGAAACTACTTCATTTCAGGAAGATGTGGATATGGTTTGGGGTTTCAAAACTAATGTGCACATTTCAGATTTTGAAACTATGTTCTGGCTGGCAGCACAATTCTATAATACTGTTTAGAATTCTCTGTGAGAGATATTCATTCAAGTGTCTTTTTCTAGTTCTAATTACACTCCCACCTTTTTTCCTCCCTACTTGTTTTTTGTTTTGCTAACAAGTTCACAAGATGCTACCTATAACATCCTCTTGATCACAAGTACGAGTCTCCAAAATTAAATTAAAATTTTATTTCAAAAGTGTG